GAGAGAGAGATATATGTACAGCCTCAGCTAAAAGTTTTCCATGCTAGTACTACATTTTTCAAGAAGGAAGGTTTTTTTTAAGCAAAGCAGACAGTTGGAAACATTTTGCAGCATCATTCCCTCTTAACAAACTTACTTACACATGATTTCTATCATTTTGCAACTGAAAACGCTGAAAAGTAATGCTCACACCAAACTAACAGTGCATTTCTTTTATTTTGCTCATTTCAGGTATGTGTTGCAGATATGTGTTGTATATTCTTTCATTCCTAAACACAACACTGTCCTCCAGCACTGTTTATCTTTTCAGAATTAGTTTGCATTTTTATGTGGCACAAAGCCTTAAAAAAACTGCTTAGGTCAGGCTAAAGCCTATGCTAATTTTAAGAAGATATAGGTGTGTCTAAGAACCTAAAATCTTTTTGCAAGGTAGAATTTATTGTGCATTTGTAGCTTGGTGTTTGCTTGAAGAAAGATGGCTGTACGTGAAGGAAATAACAAAGTAGATAAGGGAGGACCACATCTGACTGATGCCTTGCTGGGACTATGAGAGTGCAGAGGAGCTGCAGCTGTGTGCCAGCACCGTGAGCGCAGAGCTCTGGTGTTCGTCTGTTTTGCACCCACGTTGCAGTTTGCAGGAGGTGTAAAACAGGGTGAGAGAAAGTAATGAAATTAAAGATTTACCGTTCTTCTAATGGGACTGATTTGTGAATGCCATATGGAGACAGGTATGTCCTTAGCCTGCGAGATCCAAAATACATGTAGAAATCTCATTTTGTATGTCTTTAAATCCTCTGGAAACTTAACTAACCAAAAGGGCATTGAGAACCCGAACTGTGTGATGCCAATCCCTGCAGCGTTGTTAGCAATGAGTTGGAAATCAGTTTTGTCCATGTCTTCCAACAACCGTAGCCAATTTGGCCATTACAGTAATGCGTCACACTTGGAAGCCTTAATCTCCAAATCTTCCATCAACTTCTGATTACTGGAGTAGTTTGTATGGCAAACACACACAGCTGGAGCGTTTGACATTAAGAATAGCTTATGAAAGTAATTACAATAGAGGAAGCCAGGAAAAGGGGCAGGGAGGGGTGCTTTTACTGTATAAGACCTTGTTCTTTTTCCAGGACAAGCTTGTCTTGGTCTCATTTTTAAAGCATTGTGTTTTCCATACTAGCTTCTAGTACCACCGTGCAGCACACAGCCAAGGCTGAGAGCTGCTCCAGTTTTAACCCAATTCTCAAACTAGTGTTTCATTTTGTGCACACACTTTCATTTTCACATGTTTTTCTAGACTGTACTCTCTAGCAAGACTAAAACTGTTGAAGTGATTGCTGGATTCATCCTTGAAGCTTGATTTATTATTTAACTTCAGAATGTGATTAATTCTGCTTGACCTGTCCTCTGCCACACAGATTTTTCTAGAATGTGCACTTCATCTTTATCTCGGGTGTGGCACGCCCAGCTCAATGCAAATGCAAGCACAGAGCATTTTGTTGATTTTCTGAGGTGTTGCTTCATTCTTTTTTTTTCTCCCACTACCTGCTCACTCCTCGATAAAGTAAATATTTATGAGAAGTACCTGGAAAAAAAAAAAACCATGAGTCACCAGGAGACTTTATTATGATAGTATAATCTCACCTTAACCTGACCTAATCCATCTCCCTTATGCATTGAAATTCTTTTTTGGTAATCAGACTTTAACTGAAATTGTATGGTTATTCTTTGCATTTGATGTTTGAGATTATTCTGTTTAAATGATTTTTAGTGGATGGTAGTGCCAAATAATCAGTCAAATTCTTCTGGAAATTTTACTTATATATATTAATAGTAATTCTGTAACTTAATCATGTTTCATCGGGGTAAATCAGAATGCATTTGACAATATGTGGCCTTATGTTGTTATAACATATCAATTGTTTTGAGAATTACTATTAAAGATTTACCGTTCTTCTAATGGGACTGATTTGTGAATGCCATATGGAGACAGGTATGTCCTTAGCCTGCGAGATCCAAAATACATGTAGAAATCTCATTTTGTATGTCTTTAAATCCTCTGGAAACTTAACTAACCAACTAGTTCTCCAGAACCCGAACTGTGTGATGCCAATCCCTGCAGCGTTGTTAGCAATGAGTTGGAAATCAGTTTTGTCCATGTCTTCCAACAACCGTAGCCAATTTGGCCATTACAGTAATGCGTCACACTTGGAAGCCTTAATCTCCAAATCTTCCATCAACTTCTGATTACTGGAGTATTTTGTGGATGTGTCGATTCACGGTGGGGAAAATGTCTCCAAAAGTCAGGCTTTCTTATTGGAAGTATGGTTTTGCTTTCCTGTGGCAGAGAGTATGTTCTGTCTTGTAATAATGTTGTTAATTGATCAATTGCATTTGTCATTTGTCTGATCAGATCAGCAAAAGTCAGTCAGTCCAATGTAAGGTGAAAGTCATGTCATTGAGGCTATTGTTGTAATTCACCTTCACTGAATGACTGATTTCACATGTCATTCTGCTCTTACCTGGGCCTCAGCAGGCAGGAAGCAGAAGCTCATGCTTCTTGGGTGTTTTTCAAAAAAAATGAGCCTACGAAGACATAATGACTAATGGAAAATTAATTTAAGCTTTAGCTGAAAATCATTTAAAACTTACCAAAGTTTTTGTTTTAGCATGTGGTGCCTGAACCCCGATAGGTTCCTGCTACCAAAGGCTTATTTGGCTGTTGAAATCTACTCTGAGTATTTCTGACACATCTGTAATGTAGAAACAGAGTCTTTTGAGAAGAAAGGACAGAGCGAGCTTTCCAGAGGCGGGTAACATCAATCTAATCTAGTCTACTCTAACAGTGCTTGTCACAATTTGATATCTATTTGTATGTATTCTGATATATTGCTTAGCAGTATGGCTTTGTTACACTTGAGATAACATTTTCCGTGTGGAGTTCGGTGGAATAAAGCAAATGTGTGCAATTTCCTTTTTTTCATTGCAGCCTGTTTGCTGAGAGAGATTTCCATAGAATCTCGTTCACCTTTTTTTCTGATGACTGAGATTACAGAAATGTGTTGCCTCTTAGGTTGAGCTCTTGTTTTATTAGAAGGGAACAGGCCTCCGTTGTGACTTTCTGGTAGAAATTGAGTGGGATTCGTTAAGGTTCCAGCACTGGCTGTCGTGGGGTCGCAGATGAGGAGGAGTCCAGGCAAGGTCATAGTCACAGGAGAATACTTCTCGTGGCAATATCATGTGGTCACTGACATTTTCATAAAGTAGAGAAATCAGTGGTAGCTTTAAAGAAGGAATCCCCACCCTGCTCCTCTTGTTTTGTGACCTTGTGGGAAGCACAAGTCTCTGAAGTTTTGTGTCACTCCTTTGGATGCTGAGGAGGCTGGCAGTTACCCTGATGGTCTTGTGAAGCACAATGGTTATTCCTAATTATGTCACTAATTTCAATGCATGTGTGATATACATCATGGTAACTGATCAAAAATGAGTGGCACTGTATCTGGGTTTGAGGTAAAACAGAACTAATTTTCTTTTCAGTAATTTTACTTTTCAGTTAAGCCTCTTCTAACTACGTGCACTCTCTGAAATAAACAGCATATTTTTCAGACAATGTCTGCTTCTAGCAGATAATGCCTGATGTTTATAGTTAAAAGAGGCTCTTGCTTACACTTATTCCTGTAACAAGCAAGGTCAGCTAACTTTCTTATGCACTGAGTTGGAGGGTCGGAAGTGGAAAAGCGTAGAGGGGTCCCATCTGCGGAGAGGAGCGGACAGGACAGGTGACCCAGAACTGACCAGCAGGGTATTCCATCCCATCTGCCTCGTGGTCAGTGTAAAAGCTGAAGGATCAACGAGGTCAGCTTCTTTCTTCAATGGCCGGTGTGCGTCCAAGGAAGACTCTGTTTGTCGGCCTTTGATCCTGATCTGTGCATTCCTGAATCCAGTTCCTGAGTTCAGCTCCTGTTCATTGCTGAGTCCAGTCTGGGACTTCCCCAGTGCCTGTCAGTGACGTGATCATCATCCTGGGTGCTTGATGTATAGATTTCATTATTTCCTTATTAATATTATTATCTTTTCTTTTTATTATTAATATTTCATTAGTTAGTTTCTTTTCAACGCGTAAGTCTCTCTTATTGTGTCTCTCCCTTCTCTGAAGAGGGATGTAAGATTGAAGGGGAGAGAGGTTAAAGAGCACATCAGTCACTCATTTTAGTGGCCAGCCCAGCCAAAACCATCACAGATTTATGGGCATCCAACCTGGAGCATGACCAGGTCTGAAAGATTGCCTAAATACTTTGAATTCTGGCTTGCTCAGTTGAGAGTGTAATGGATTATTTTTTTTTCTACAGGAGTCTTCAGGGGGTGGAAATTAAAACTGACAGCTCACATCATGTCATTCTTGAGCGAAATGTTGTATCATGCCTTTGTAGAGGTTTTTTTTTAAAGTTGGTCGATTCAACGCTGCTTCTTGTTAAGAGTTCAGAGAAGAAATGGCTGAAGAATTACTCTGTGGAGTGGCTGACACGTAGCGCACCATGACATAGGTAATTCTTTCCAGGATTTGTTTGCAGAATGTCAGGCTGGTAGGGATTATATTTTGGATGACAAAATGCAGTTCGTATGAATGAATAGCAGAGTTACAACTGATGCCATTTAATTCTGGATAGGATCCTGTTAAACATTGAAAAAATGGAACCAACAAGAGTGGGAACTGCTCTAGAGTTTAAACCAGTAAATAGCAGCCATTTGCAGAGTGATTGATTTTTCAAAAGCTGACTTACTGAGTGCTTATAACCTATCGAGGTGAGGTTATCTGTGCCAACCCAAAATTCAGATATGAGGCTTACCACAGTGTGGCATGTAGATATGGGCTTGTTCGAGTCATGAAGAAAAGTTCTGTCAATTATTTCCCACACCTCTAGCAAGATATAAAAGTTCAAGGTCTCTGGGATTTTCTTGCATTCTTGTTTTCTGCTGCCTCTTGTTCTTATCTGAAAGAAAAAATGAACGGATTTGTGAGTATATCAATTTTTATTGAACTTAGATGGTAAAAAATGCCTTCTTTTTAAAAACAAAAGGATAGAGAAGAAGATGCTCAAGGAAGTGGTACGGTGCTGGGACTGATGATCTGTGTATTGATTGTGTGGGTTGTTCAGTGGGAAAGCTGCGTTTCTCGGGTGTGCAGTAATCTCCTTGGAGTCAGTGGCAGCATCATTTGAGCAAAGAGTGCAGAACTTGGATTGCAGTACAGAAGGGGGATTTAGTTGTGATTTAATAATTGCAGTTGTAGAGACACATCAAGAAGTAACACAGCATCAAGGAGTGTGACTTTAGAAAACTACAAACCCCTGTAAGGGTTAAGTTCTCATCCTGCTTTTTCAGTTACCAGCAAATAGCAAGAATTTCACAAGGAAGGGTTGTAATTGTTTTCAACTAATACATCTTGTTAAGTGGGTAATGTTTCAAACTGGTGCTACAGCTGCTTCCCTCAGTTCATGAACTGGTGGTTGTTTTTGTGGCACTGCCTGGTGTTTCTGTTGAGTGAGAGTGCTTATTCCTTTTACAGGCTGCAATCCTGGTGTTGCTGGGAGTCTTTTGGACTCAGACTTCTGCGTTGGAGGTGAGTAGACTGAGGAGCCGTGTAGTGCAGGTACTGCTTGAAAATGCATGAGACGAGAGGGGGCAAGTATAACAGGAAGGAAAGCACAGAAGAAACAACGAAGATGCTTATTGCCAAGCATAGAGAAAAATAGCGTTTGCCAAAGGTGACAGTGGTATAAGCCAAAGGGGTGGTTCTGTGCAGGTGCAGAGCAACAAGAAATTGGGGGGGACACAGGTGCCCTTAGGTCAAGCTAAAATCTGGGGACTGTTGCAGTCCCCTGCCAGTCCCTGCTGCCAGACGTGATGACTGGGGTGCCCCATGTTGTCCTTCCTGAGGGTGCAGTGCGGGCCTGTCCCCTCCTTTCTCAGCCTGACTCACTCTCGCATGACTTATCCCCACCTCAAGGGCCTCCTGAGACTGCTAGAGGGTTGTTAAGGGATTTAGTATTTACACAAAGCAATCTTGCTTGGTTTTTTGAGGGAAAGCATTTGTTTATGTTGCACCTTTTAAAGGTGCAAGCCATGTGATGGTTTTCCGTTGTTTTTTTTTTTTTACTAAAGACCTTTGTCCTGCCAGAACCTCAAAATGACTATGTCACTGGAACTATGACTATTGACAACGATAACCACATTGTTGATGTCCATGTCCGTTCTGGCGTGTACTCCTCTGATACCATTTTTGATTACATGCATGTAAGTAAATCTAAGACTCTGCCAAGACTTAATCTCTGAGGAAGTTTTTAAACTCAGAAATTCATTCAGTGTATTGTCACCATGAGTTGTCATGAAACACGGTTTCTTTGAAGACTTCCATCACCTTTCCTCCTCTAACTCCATCTCTTTGTTTCACTCATATGATGGTCAGTTTAAAGGACTTGTAATGAAACCCATGGTGGCAGTTCCTGAAAGTGAGAAGAATGGCATTGACCTCAAGGAGGTCAGAGCTGAGAATGGGCTGCTATCGCTCACGTATAGCACTTGCAGCAGAAGTCTGTCGGAAAAGATGCTTCCAGTCTTATGGGCAGACGTGAGTGTGGGCAGGCTGCTTCCGTTCCCCAAAGGTGACATCAATGCAGAGTCATTGCTCAGTAGCGGCCTGTGTAGCCACTTGGTGTTTCTTCTAGGTTGGCCTAAAGATTGTGGGGAAATCCAACTGATATTAGCGGCAGTCATTTTCAATTAATTAATTAACTGTATTTTTTAATCACAGGGATATATTGCAACGAGATTATTTTCACGAAATGCCTGCTTTATCATGAAAATACATAAGGAATCCATCCCAGAGCTGCATGAAATTGGACGGCTGGCTTTTGAGAGACAGGTAACTTTAGCAAAACCCATACTGTGTCGAGGACAGGCTGTTCTATAGGAGTTGCGCAGTGTGACAGGAGCCCTCCATTCTGCCTTTAAGAACAACTGTTGTTAGGAATGTCTTTTACTGTGGTAGCAATGATGAAGAAGATGTGACAAAACAGAACCTCAAGGGAATATCATATAGAACATTATTTTAAGATAATGAGCAGTCATGCCTCCCCTCTGCGGTTTTATTGTGCATTGTCATTGTGACTAAAACTGTAAGATCCCATGTCCTTGGAAGTAGTGTAATTTGACTGTTTTGGGCTGATGACAATATGAGCTCAGGCAGGCTTCTCCTTTTTCATTGTCCTGTTGATATGTTGAGCATGACATAACTTGAAATAATTCTATGTGGAGAACAGAATTTAGGAATGAATGCCTAACGGTAGCACAATAACAGCAAAACTTACTGCAAGTTAACATAACTTATTATGATAGTAATACAGCTCAAGTTTCCTGTGTTGACAGAATTAGTATCTCATGATCTTTGTTTCTGAACAGCTTGAAAATATATATTTCCTTTAAAAACGTGTAGCTGTTTTAACTAATGCTTTATGTGAGGCTACAGAGGGTGATCTTAGATTTTGGGGTTTTCTCTAAGGTGTCCTAGCAGAATGAAACCAAAGCTGCATTACTGATGACGTCTAACATTTTCTTTTTAGACTATGAACACGGTATACTCTCCAAATAATGTGTGGGTACAGTTTCAGTCTGGCCATTCCACGCTTGGGACTGTCAAAGACTGGCTTGTCTATGGTAAAGCCATTGAACAACTCTGCAGAGGTCTGCCTCTCTACCACCTTGCAAAGACTGAACGTAAGTGACAAGATCAGAACTTTTTGCTTCTGTTACAGCCCATAAGGACCTTTCTATCCTTTAAATCTAAGTTCACGCGACAACTTTGAGGCAGGAACATCTTTCCCTGTTTGAGACAGGAGTAAACTACCTAGCAGGAAGGAAAGGGTAAAGCTCTTTGGGTTGCTTTGGCAAAGCTGGTGGAGCACTGCTTTTCGTTGTTAGGCATGTAAATATCTGGGAGAGCTGTTCCTAAGTGGTTTGCCTGGTGTCGGAGGAACCATTGTGTAGCAGCTGGACCCAACTTATGCCCCAATGATACTATGGTCCCACAAGGCAGGTACTGTATGCCAGCATGCTACCTGCTGTACCTAAGGGAAAGGAGGAGCACAAATGTGATTGAAAGCTGAGCAGACAATTGCTCCCTTCGAGCTACACCATAAGAGTTTTACACAGTAACCGAAGCTGCAATTTGTGCATTTAACAGAGTCTTCCTTGCTGGATACATGGATCTTGTCGATGCTAATATCTTCATTTTCTTGTTTCTTTTAGCACTACCGAATGTTCATGGCTGTTCCAGTGCTGGAATTCCAAGCATTTTGGGCCTTAAAATCTGTGAAAAAATCAATTAGGCTGGATCTTGAAAATCCTGCAGCATGGAAATGGCTTCTTTCTTTGCATGCTTTTGTGACGGTGGCCATGTTGTCCAGGTGGAACCAAACTCCGTTTAGACTCAGCTTGCCTATCCTAAGCTTTGAGTGCAACAAAGCTATGATATACAAATAAAGATAATGGAGTAATAATTAAAATACTTTGTCTTTTTCCTTCATCTGAAAATAGAACGGAAATAATGTGGACCTTGCTGGTTTTCCTACAGAAGAGATATGTTTCCCTGTGGTGCCTTCCTGTGCTCAGGCTGCAATGTGACCGAGGCATCGGTATATGCTTCTGTTACGGTTTCCTCTCTAGCATGAATAGTTTTTCCCAGTGGAGAACTTGCCCTTGGCATGAGCAGCCGGCCTCCTTGGGTGCTGACTCAGCCTATGTATGATTGCTGGAGGGAGGGAGCAAAGAGGTGAATACAGAGATAAAGGGAGGGAGCAGATCTATGTTAGCAACACATGCAAAGAGGCTTGAATTCTGCAAGGCCCCTGAAAAAGGGCAGTAATTTGAATAGGTGCGATGGGTCAGAGATCTTCGTGTTCTGGGTGTCTTTCAAACCCGCGTAAAGGAGACACTCCCAGTCCTAAAAAGTTCGTAACATGGAATAAAACGATCCTTTCACACAGTGCCAGTATAAGAAGAGCTGTGCCCACTTGCTGAGTGTTGCGTATATGCTGGAGAGTAGTTTGTGTCAGGAGCTGATTAAAATACAAGATGAGGCAGCATTGGTGCTGCCTGCCTGCTCTTCTGGTAGATCTGAGTGAATGGTTGAAGTCACACGTCCTTTCCACCAGTGTTTGGAAGTAGTGTATATTTTGGAGCTGAAGACTAACTGTTTACTGGAGCCGTGATTGGCTGCCCGAGGGCAAGGCATTCCTTTGGAGTCCAGGAAACTGGCCCCAGGTCTGCAATTTGTTATGTTCAAATCAGGCTCCTGGTGAAACCATCTGCTATTTATTGAAAGAGCATTTTATCATATGGTGAAAATGTTCTTTTAGATTAACGGTATTCAGAAGAGGCTGCAGGTACTTGGAGATCCAAAGAATGTTTCTGGAGGGTCAAACTTGGGTAACCAAATCCAGTAATAGTTCTGTGTATCTGCGAGATGCAGAGTAGCCTGTTTAGCTGTATTTTGAAGTGGAGCTCAGTGATGGGATGTGAAACTGGGAGTTGTAGTTCTGATGTTTGTTTGGCTGATGCACGCGGGGGTGTGAGACACCTCAAAGCACCCTTTGAGAGCCCTGCTTGGCAAGAGGACTCATGTGGGTTGTGACTTTGAAAGCTTTTGTGATTGCAGTATCCAGAGAGGCTGTTGTTTCAAGACCTTCAAAACTCAGTGGAAGCCCTAATCCAGTTTCCAAGTGACAGCTGTCATGTCTCAACCCTTTCTTTGTGTATTGTTGTGTTAGGGGGCATGGAAGTCATGGCAAGCCCTCCCATTGCCCCAGATGAGGCAATCTCTTCAACATGTAGAAAATAACTGCCTTAATTGTCTCAGGCTTTATTTATCTTTGGATTAGTTCTTTAGGGCTGCTGACCTGACATCGACTCGCCGGTGACAGTTTGAAGACCAGAGGTTGAAGTAGATGCCAATGGAACAGACTGGTCGAGCTTCCAGAGAGGCAGACTAGATGTACGAACAAAGCTGAGTCTGACTATTCTCAGATCATGATTTAATTTGAAGTTATTTAAAGTGATTAGTCAATACAATCTGGTTTTCTGTCTAATTGTCGTATAGAAGAATCTGAACCAGTACTCTGTGTGCCGTGTAATAGTGGTCCTTTGACTTTCCCCATCCTCTTGCTCCTAGTTTAATCAGGACTAGTTACTGTAAAGGAACCCTCTGTGTACTACCTTCATTTATTAATGGAACAGTGTTCTGAGACATGAGTGAAAGAGCGTCCTCTTCTCCTCTTGCACAGCTGCTTACAGATCACGAGGACTGATCTGAATGGACAAAGTGAGGGCTGCATGGCTGCCGTGATACTATCAATGGAAACTGGAGCACAATCTACACTCTATAGTTTGACTGCTATCATGGAAATTGTCCGTGGGTAAGGCAGGATCTCAATCTGGCTCTTCAGTCTTCACCGATGGCTTAAAAACATCCCTCTCTCTGGTTTGAGGGAATTTCATTTAAATTTCAAGGATATTTGAGGTCTTACATTTTTTGTTTAGAAAATGTAAAACGTAAAAACGTAATTTTGCATATATATCTGAAAAGCTTACCAATAAGCTTTTAGTCTTTACTGCCTACTAATTTTGAAGGCAGCATTACAAGCTCAGTAGATTTGTACTCAATACTAGAGCAAATAGCTCTACAAAGAACACTGAAACAAACCTCAATACTTCTTATCTGCCCTTTAATTTTGTTTGACCAGGGAGGTTGCCTTTCTGCCCTTCATGTACTCAAACATGAAAGAAGATTGTTTCTAGCTTTGGTTTTAGTTCACAGTCTCATTGTATCAGCCAGTCCTGTTACGGCTATATTTGCATTTTGACTGCTGTGTTTATTGTTTCATAAATCATGCTTCAGCTATCCATCTACTCTCACAGCGCCTCCAGTGCCAAGGTGCACGGCTTAGAGGAACCTGTTCTGGATGGAGCGCCCAGGAGGCAAATCTATTGTGACATTTCTGTACCTTTTAGGGTGCAGCTCACAACAAAGAGAAAAGGAAGCACAGGAAGAATCATATAGCACGCGAGCCATATGCCACCTTCTCTTGCCCATGTTTTTCAGAGGATGGTTTGTTTTCATATGAGCACATCCATGAGCTTGTTACAGCTCTGAATTTACAGAGCTGGAGCCTAGGCCTCTTTGCATCCCCAACATATCACTGATTTCAAACATCATGCTAGAAACAGCTGCAGGGCAAAAGAAAGTGATTGTGGATTTAGTAACTAACTGCAGGACAAACAGGAATGTGCACCCAGCTCTGAACAAAAGCAGAGAAAAGGACCTATGCAGGAGAAAGAATTTTGATATTGTATCTCTTTGATACTGTACTTGGCCCGTGCTATTTCCTTCTTTGCTGTCGATGCTACAGTTTACCATGTGTTTTACGTACATGTCTTAGACTATAATTAATCTATTTTTCTTACCTTGCAAGGTGATGGATGTTATTACTAGAGTACAGGGAAAGACCAAGGAAGTAAAAAGCAGCAAGAACAGGTGAAATGTCCCTGAACATATGGTCCATCTGTTGCCTTAAATAACAAGTTTCAATCATTTTTAAAATGTTTTCAATCGTGAAATCCACAAGCTGTGAGCAAAGGGTCTGGACAGAATGTTCACAATCTGAAGGAAACATATATCTTTCCCTTTATTGATCACTTAGCTTAGACGTGCGTTTTGTATAATATGGAGCATCTGTGGTCACAGAGCTTGTTTAGGTGTCAGTAGCTTTACGGGTTGCCTGTCAGTAAGGATCTTTTAACATTGTGATCCGTGAGATTTCCCACTGGAAAATTCCCACCGACTTCCACGGGAGGGACCCACAGAGGACTGCAGCCGCTTCCGAAGTGGAGAGCAGCCAGCAACGGTTCTCAGAAACAATGGGAGAGAGAGTTATGTTCACAGTCAACAAAGCAGCTGCTTATCCTAGTAACAAGTGCCTACGGTTAATGTGCCGAGTGGGTTGTCCATGAGGCTTAAGCATAAGATGAGCACCTTGAAAACAGCACAGGCAATGCTATATCTGCCTGAGGAGAGCGGCAGGGCTGTGGTGATCCTACCAGGACTGGAACGCAGATCTATCACAACAATGAAGAAAGGAGCCAGTGCACGAGCTTAGATCCTGCAGAGGGATTGGCAGAAGGAGCATAGAGAGGAGGAGAGTATGAGGCTGTGACTCTCAGTATCTTGAAAGTTACCTGATCTTTCCAAGAGCTTCTCTCCATCCAAGTAATATACGTGTTTTGGAAGTTTAGCTCGCTTCTCAGCTCGGCTTGTTCTATAAAAGGTGGGGAATTTGATGTATGTGGAAGAGAGCCCACTGGGAGGGTGTCTGGGTGTGAGTGTGTGCGTGTGCATTGGCAGCTTTTGTAAGTTAAAAGAATAGGCATCCTAGGCTGGGCTATCGGAATAACGCTGATTATTTGCTCCCAGCTTTTTTAAAAAGCCTGAAAGGTGTTTAAGGGCATGCCTGGAATCCAGGCAATGGTATCATTGGATGCACACTGACAGGCAGCTAAGCTATGTCAAGCATTTGGGGAGGGCAGAATTAGCACACATTCCAGTCCCACCTCCAACTCTGCTGCAGTTAACCTTTCAGGATCCTTATACATATCAGTGGGCAGGAAGCCTCGGTGGTCCCTCCCTGCCAAGGACACCAATTTATCTAGTCACCTGCGCTGCACAGTAATTCAAGATCTTCTCACCGCTGAACGCATTCCCCTGAGAACCTCTCCCCCACCTCCCCAAATTTGCCGGTGTACGAGACTGTTTACCAAGGTGGAGGTGTGACACCTTTGCCAGATCATGCCTTAATTGTAGAAGGCAAAAGCTTGCCTCTTGAGCGTGTCTCTAGAACCATTAACCACTTGGGAGCAAATTGCTGTGGTCGAGCACTGCACAACATGGCCAGATCCACGTGCAACAAGAGAAGAGGGTGTCCCAGTGAAGGGAAAGCCTGTGCTCAGTTTCAATCAAGGTGCCTAATCTTAAATAAGTTTTTAAGCTTTTAAGTTATTGTCCGGAGAGGTGGTGAGCTGGGTTTTGCACGGTTACTTGTTTAAAAGGAGTAAATGTTTTGGCCGATGAGCCACACCACATTTTCCAAGGCATGTGATCCGATCCTGGTGGCACATGTCTGCTTTCTGCTTGAGCTGAGCACCGAGTGTGACTTCACTTGACCACCAGATGGCAAATTGTTCCAGTAACCTCAACGTTTACAGGTTTTTTATTGCTATCTGAATCCAGGGTTGTTCCCCAAGAAGTAAAACCTGTGTCAGCATGCAGAGGATTTGA